CCTCAAGAGGCATAAGTGCAAGAGAAACTTCTTTATGATTCTCGCTGGCTAAGAGGACCAGAATTTCTTTGGCAACAAGATCAGAGTTGGAAAAGCTCATTATATAAAGCTGATGAGGAAACTGAAAATTGTTTGATAGAGGAAACGATGAATCGGCGAACTAGTAATTAATCCCATATGTAATTATTGAGAGTTGGTTCCGCAAGTGTAATTTTCTTTAGATTTTGTAAGGAATCTATGTGTAAATAGTGCTGTTTCTTTTTAATGTTACTCTGTTTTTTATATGTTCATTGAGTTAGGTTTAGAGTTGATTTGTATAATTGCAAAACATAGTAGGTAGTTATTGTTTTGCAGGAGAGCCATGTTACTGCAGCGGTTTGCAGCAGTGTCTTTAATGATTGACAGGCGAGATTGTATGACGTCATAGTTAGAATGTTTCGTTTAGTTAGAATGATCTGTCTCATTTCCTGTCTCTGGCCTGTAACACGAGTTAGTGCTGTCCCTGTATAGTTCAGACGTGTATGGCTGTATTAATATATTCTAGTGTCAGATTTTGTTGTTTGAATCTGCATGTATAAATAGCTTAGGATATGTACCGGTACTGGTATTGAGTTCAGTTGCATAGTTTGACGAAAGGTAATTGATTGTTATGTTCTTGTTTACACAGTTTGTTATAATAATCTGCCAGAGAAGCACCGAATTCAATGTCAGTTACCGCAGTTTCAACATTATAATTATCAATTAGCATTTAACCGGAACACAATATTTCATGTTTGATGACATTACTGCATTATTTCTGGACTTTGTCCTGTGGAAGCTGGATTTTCATGCTATTAAAATATTGAAACACGAGTCAAGCTGCATTGAATTGTTATTAGATTCGTCTGCTAGCATTCCATCAACAGACTAAGGAAGGGATCGAATGCCTGCAGCCACAATATGTTTCCTTCCCATCGACTTCCTTGTTTACTTCGTAACATTGGCCGATCAGCAAGAAGCAAAAAGTGACGTACCAATGAGACTTTTCGCATCCGCTCAGACACTTTTATCACTCGGACAGATTTTCAGGCATGGTTGTAAACATTACCACGTTTTCGCGTTTTTGGATTCTATTTGGTTTGTTCGGAAATTCAAATATAAACTTAAAAATTCAATGATCATTTTGTCCGCTCAAAAGTCTGCTTTCAAATGATCAGGAAAAATATACCCCAGTTTACAGGCGCAAACTCGCGAATCAACTCATAAAATAAGCACCAAAAATGTTACAATGGTAAAGCATAGGAAGAATTTTTCAGGGGATCAAATGTCGGGGAAACGTCCAATGGAAGTCATGCGTAAACAGCATAAAATAAACAAAATTTATTACTACGCAAAAAACAGATCCTTTTCTAGTAGTTAAGCATTATGGCATGTTAAAAAAAAAGTTCAGGTAGCAGTCGGTTTGCTTTTACCTAAGACAGTGGCTCCCAACCTTTGGCGTTAAATTCCTCCCTTCTTCTATTTTGGGACTCACCCTCACTTTGATTGTTCAATTTTTAATTGATCCTTAGTTATATGTGCAAGTTGCACTCTTGTTTTCGTAGAGTTCCAGTCTATATAGTAATGTGAATATATATACTATATAGAATATTAGTAGTAGCCTACTACATCGATACCAAAGTCGAAGCAAAATGCCACCTAAAAAACGGAGGAATTCTTCCTTGGTTGGGAAACATTTTATGATTATATAAATGTTAAGGTTAAATAGTATTTTAAAGTTATTCGTTATATCTCCGTACAATAACGTTTTGTATGAAGGATTATATAGCAATATATGATAAAAGTTTTATCAATGTTGTATGACGTGCCATCGACGTATGACTATTAGCCAGTGGCCTAGCAAGGTTCTCGTGAGAACCCCCCCGCCCCCGCAAAAATATTTCGTGAAAATGACCCTAAAAACTCTCGGACATAAGCTAAAACAACGCTCTTTTTATTTCGTCAAAAAGCAAAAATGTCGCTATTAAAAGCCAACGGTAACCTAAAATTTGTCGTTCATCTTGGTTACTTCAATTTTTTCATACGTGATTCCTCTTCTGCCATTTTTCTGCGTTTCTGTGCGCCACTGAGAGGTTTTGCTTTCGACATCATTCTGACAGCCTTCGTGATTTTGCCGGTGCGATCAAACCACAAGATGCCGAAAATCGACGACTTCCTGGCATTGTTACATAACAAAAAGATTTGAGCAGAACGAACATCAACGTTATAAGATGTGCATTACTGGTTTTGCAATGCAGCTTTTGATTTTGCGGCTTAAATTTCTAAATTCTAACCGCTTGGGCCCCTTTGCGCTGTGGGCCCTCCCGCGGCCGCGAGGGTGGATGCTACGCCACTGCTATTAGCTATTTGTATGTATGTATGCCATTTCTGACGGTCAGATAGGCTATTAGCTATTTCGGACGGTCTGTTTCTAGCTTGGTTTCTAGACATCACTATAACGATGTGTCTGTGATGATGTCACATTTACGTCGGTGCGCAAACCTATCAAAAGGTTTGCAAGTAGGAATTATACCAGAAAATTTGGACTTATTTCTGTAGCCCGATCCAGGATCAGTATAAATGAAATCCTGGTATTTCAAAAAGATAATTTTTGCGATCACTCGCGTAATAACAAGGCAATTTTATGAAACACTCGAAACTAATGAGCATGTCAAATACTACGGACCCTTTTAGGAATTTTCTGAAAACTGTGGACTCATTTAAAAAAAAGTCCATACCAGGGATGGCAAACCATTGACTCGCGGATCACCAAGTGACCTACCATGTATACCAGTGACCCGCCAAGGCACGAACTAAGGCATATATGATACTAACATTTCATTAATAATAAAACCTGCCTTAATTCAATCTAACAATATGTGAAGTACTATTTTATAGTAGGCCTATAACCGGGCTTGGATTTACCAATACAAAGAGTAGGCTGAAGCCCAATGACGTTGGGCCGCTGGTTCGAGAATTTAATCGGTTTGAAATTTTATAAAACTGATATTGGTTAATTTTTTTTTATCAGATACGGTCGAAAAAATGAATTTGACTAATTTTGAAAAATATTACCCCCTTCAACTTTGAAACAAAATATATTAGGTGGTTCCATTACATTAGAACCCACGTACATTTGAACCCATGACAATTGCACCTGTATGCTATTGCACCTATGGAATTTTTTTTGTTTTTCGGATAGTTGAACTCATAATAACCCTAACCCATGGGTTTTAGCACCAGCATAAAGATTGAACCCGTGGATATACACATGGGTTCAAATGTACGGTCACCATATTAAGTTAATCGAACAGTTTTACCCTAACAGTGCATTTATTTATTTTTCAAAGAATAAACAAATATCAATCTATAGCTCTGCCAATTTATCTAAGCGTTTTCACACAATTTAAGAATTTATTCATGACGTATTTATATCCTATTAGCTCCGCAAAACCTCCGTTTGTTTCACGATGATTGGCTTTCAATGGACGCGCGCTGCTTTTGCATCATAACATCCAAGTACATTCCCCCTAATCTCGGGTACTAACAATTAGTTTTCCGCAATCATGACAAATCGAAAAAAAAAAATTACATATGAAGTCAAGTAGGCTACATGATGAATCTTGGGCTTACTTGGGTGTGTATTGCACTTAGAGACATTGAAGGTCTTGGCTCACAGCTCTTTAAAAAAATGAATTGTGGCGTCAATATGAGAAGTACAGAGATCTGTCTGTCGATTTTCTTTCTAAATGTCAAAAAAAATACGCTGACTAGACTTTTTTGAAGAGAAAGAACATGGGGTTGGGCAAAATGGAATTAATCGTCCAGCTTCATGTGGAGGGTATCTTACTCGCATTGTAAAGCAGTACGCATTTTACCTTTTCTTATGATTATGCGATTTATCTGTAATTTTTTTTAAAACTCGCCCTGTTACAGAGATTCGCAGTAGGAAGTGCATAAGCCCTAAACCAAGAGGGTGTGTTTTTGGGTATGCTACTTTGCAGCTTATTGTTTTCCCGCTTACAATGTCGTTTGGAAAGCGAATTCTTTTAAACCTAAATATACGAAACCTGAACTAACAATGGGGAAAGATGGTAGTGACTTTAAATGCAGTTGGAAATTGATCGAAAAATATTTCGAAGATCGTTTGAAATCATAAAAATATATGCCCTAGCGTTATGAACGTATTTCAGTAATTCATATTCATGAATTTCCTAAAATCGAGAAGCAGAAACGCCAAGGATTATGAGACGACTTGCAGAAGAGATGCAAAATCATGTTTCTCGTTGATGCAGATATTGTTTAAATATCTATGACCCACTGCCTTCTATTCCATATAATATAATTTTTGCCCAATTCATTAAATGAGGTTCGCCATCTCCGTCTATACTATTGCGTACAAGCGGCCTCAACCAGAATCAATGTTTCTCATCGAAACTATACACAGAAACCGCTTTGAGAGCAAAATTAAAAACTGAAACACCCGCCAAAAAGAATCCAGTATTTTTTAAATGTGGCAGAAAGTCACCAAGTACTTGCCAACATTCCGAACACATGAGCCACAGGAGATGAATATTAAGAAAGTTTAGATTAGTTATAAATCTTTCATTCATTGCTTAAATCATTTATTGTACTCAATGTTTTTCTCAGAATTGGATCACACATGACCAGACATAACATCAACAGACAAAAAATCACCAAATTATAATTGACACACAGACGACTTTTCCGGTCTGCATTGTTTAATGCTGGAAAACACAAAACACCATTTTAATTTGGACTTTAATTGTTAAACATAAAACAAAGAGATCTCATCAACGATTTTTCATTTCAGTCACCCGATGTTATTTAATCAAGAATTCGTCGATTTTATTGATTATTTAACATGCGTAACTCTCTTAGTTTTACACTGATTGTTTAAATATGCATGAAACTGTTTTTCTTGTCATAGTTGAACTATAAGGAAGTTGTCTGAAGAAGTCGTTACAGAAACGTTACAGGTATATATTTGTGTTAGTGTGCAGCAAGATTCTTGAATCACTTAAAATATTCATCGTTAATCTCGCTACAGCATCCTTGTATTATATTCATACAGATCAACCGGCACAAAAGATAGAAGAAGGATATAAGTAGTTAGTCCCACAGAAACCAAATCATAAAAAAAGAAGCGCAAAAATACAAACGTGTCGGGTTGTGACTAATCTCCCGCAAAAAAATAACATACATAATAAGTTCATGTATATATTATATAATAAGTTTTTGCAAATTTTTTCCGTTAAATAGTTTTTAGTTAAATTTTCTTTACACTATATATATTATTTGAAATATAATTCCAGAATAAAATAATTTTTGATCGCCTATCATCTATTATTCCTCGCTTGTCATTAGATCTTTTGTGACCATGTTTACCTTAAATAAGTTTAACGTGGCTTTAAAAGATAAATATTTTAACGTCTTGTAGAAGATTGTGTTACAGTCGGTATTAAATTAGTTCTTGTCATGACGGTTCATACGCTTGTCAAGTTTTGCCATATTCCATCTATTTTTCATCAGTTTACTTTGAAATCCACGAGAATAAAATGAAATATACCCTAGATGACAAAATGATCTGATCCGGACAAGCGAAGAGTGGGTTAGTGTCGTACCTCCAGACGACAAAGTTTAGTCTGCGTGGCTCCGTGGTTAGAAAACATGCGAATATTCTTAACTGCTCGTTTCAACGTAAAGTGAAAGGTATTTTCATGGATCTTAAAGCTATTTCCGATTTTCACCAAGGCCTGATTTACTCATCGAAGACGATGGAGAAAAATATCCGTCGGGACTGCTTGGGACATAATTATAATGGATATCTCATCGACCAAGGAATCAAAACTGGTGTTGCCGTTGCACCAACAAAGACAGTACGTTTTGTTGTATACACCTTGGTATTTTGCGTCGTTTCAACGGCAGTTACCACATGCGTGGTGGTATATCTAGGTGAGTATATATAAACTTTTAATTGTTTATAAAGGACCTAAAACAGTGGTACTTTTTGGGTCGAAATGACTAAATTGAGGTTTTGACGGACGTGGGTGCAGAAAAATAATTGTCACTCGTCAATATTTATGAACGCATGGTATTTCCGAGGTTGAAATATCGAAACATATCCGTCGATGCACTCGTGGCGAACACGACATTACCAAATTTTACAATTTTATGGAGCTTAAAATTATTGATACATAAACTCATTTATCATTTTAGACCCGTTTGTTTGAAAAAATAATAAAGTGTTATGTCAATGACGTCATTCAGAAAATCTTCTTTGCAATATGGGACGCATGTGACGTCAAAGTTATTGTTCTCATTCTTTATGATAGTTTCGAATTTCATGGTGGCTGACATTGATGAAAGCTGGAGTGAGCCTGAAATGAAAACAACTTTATAAAATAAAATTTATAGTTCAGATATTTCAATTAAATAAGGTTTAAAAATGAAATTAAATTTAAATTGAGTGAGAAGTTGTACGAAAATTTACTTCAGCAGTCGCACAAATGCTTTGCCTGGGGCCCGTGGGTGGTAGTTTGCTCGTCCCCTCTTATTAGACGATCATTTGCATATTTTGTAAAACAATTGCTAAGTATATATAAACAGGACCTCTACTTTATTAAATCTTCAATACAGCGCGATAAACCTTGGTCGTCATATAAATGCCTTTCCATCTTTTTTTTTTTTTTGGCGCGACCAAATTTATGCATACTGCTTACAGAGATAACACCGTGGTGATCCAATACGAATCATAGTAAAATAAACTGTCCAAAATCACTTTAACAAAAAATATTTAGTTATCTTATGTTATGAAATCAACATAAAGTTTATGCTATATTTTGCTAAATGTATCTTTCAAGTATTTTAGTTTTTCTTTATCATTTAATTTATATTTCCAGGAATTGAAAATTCTAAAAGAGAAATGGAATGTCGACAATTGCAACAAAACTTGGATTTTCTAAAACAAAGGTTACCCGTTGCAGAAGATGGTATAATAACCAAATCGATGTCAAAGAGTACTGTTAGTTTATCTGTGCCGAATCGCAGCAATGAAAGAACATCACAGCAAACCTTTAAAACAAACAAAAGAAGGAAATCGCCAAAACGAAATACAAGGAAAAAACTATCTAAGATGAAATTTAATATTTGGAGGTTATTTGTTTTGTTATTCGCTAATATGAATACTTAATAATAATAGAACAAGGCTAACATATGTGGACTTAACTACGTCAAAGTGCCTAACTTAGGATGAAATTACCCATTTGTCCAACACATTCCTCCAAGATACCCTCGTTTCACAAGCAAATATTGTGTTTGGTTCATATTATATTTAAATATCGAGATAATCTTGAAGGTTGGAACGTACCCGAATTTATTCGACGGGAGGACGACAGGCAAGCGTGACGGAGGTGGTCACGCTTGACGAAATGAAAAAGTTGCAGAGGAGGTTTCTTTTCTCCAACAAAAACAGTCACCCAACAACATGACTAACAGAAATAATAACGAATTAACATTACGCTCCATATAGACACTTCGTGTCCAATAATAACGATGGTCTTACTACGCATTCAGAATTAAGATATTGAATGTCGTCACTAAAACGTACTGTTGATATTACGGGAGACAGAATGACGCACACGATTTCGGAAGTTTATTCGCTTTAGGTATGATCCTTTTGTGGTGCCACTACGATCATCTACGCAAAATTTTTGTCAAAGTAAAACAATGGAAATATTTTGTAATTTGCTGAAGCGCCGTTTACAATTTTTAACGTTTGTTTAATGAAGATTGGCTTTCGTTAAACCCTTTACGGAAAATTACGACTGGCATTGCAGGGGAACTTTATGGCCGAATCCGATCATGGATATATGTCATATATCCAAGCGAAACATCGCTTTAGCTTAGTATCTTGGTTCCGCATGCGCCGAAGTTGAAGGTCAATGTATGAATGAAGGTCCAGTGGGAATAATTGAATGCTGTTTTGCAGTATCTTAGCAATCACAAACCGTCGCTATAACAACTTGAACTTATCGTGACACAAAATTCAATAAATAAGTAAGAGTAGGCCTATACCCGACGATCCCAAATACATGACAGGATAGAACAAACGTATCTTATCAAAGCCGATCCGGTCATCATAAAACATATAGCAAATTGACAAAGATAGTTTGAAATATTGAAATAAATTAGTCTTTATAAAAATTTTTTTTTATTTTTCCTCATCTAGGGTGCAGGTATATCATTGGTATCGGAAAACAGATGGTATATTATATAAATTTACACTAGGAAATGTTAAAATTATCCACTTCATATTCGACAGTGAGGATTCTTCTGGTTCAATTGCTTCCGATGTTCGTAGATGTTTAGCTAGAATACAGAATCTCGAAGAACACCAAACCGAACTCAAAAATTCTCAAAGATTTTTACGGGAACAAATGGAACGTCGCCTAGCAAATGTTGAGAACCTAGTCCACAAGAAGAATAAAAATAAAAGTAATATAATATATTCAAACACAAATACAAAGTCGCAACAAATTTACCTTTTTTATATGATATAATATCTGTTAATTAAAACTATAAAGATATTGTCCTAACCAATGCTATGTAATCCCTCCGAGATATGTTATCTTTTTAATTTTTGAGAACTTTTCTCAATCAAAAATACATTGTACAATGTGAACTTAAATTGAATTTTGCCCATGGTTATTGCGTAATTTGTGATGTTGTATAGTTTCTTTTTATTCATCATAAACTGAATAATTTGTAGTAGTAATAATAAAGAGGCGCAGGTCAATCAGCCGCAGCCGTTGAGAAACACTGCGTTGTGTATATTTGAGAGATATGTTCTCATTTTGATTGATTGTAATTAAAATATAATAAAACCATGAACTATATATAATTATATATCATATATTGTACAACATGATATTTGAATCCATGTGTTCGGCATTCCTGGCCTTTATACAGTGCATGGATTTTTTTTTTCATTTTTTTTTCTTTTTCAGAACGTCTACCCGCGTTTTCCTCAATACTTTCTGGTAGGCTGACTCTTGAAAGTCATGAAATTCGCAACTACGACCTGACAAGACTTCTTCATTTTGATCACGTGCTCATGAACGAAGGATCTGGCTACGACAACTCATCCGGCCAATTTGTTTGCCCACTAAAGGGAATGTATATTTTTCACCTTTTAGTCACGGTGACCAACGAGAATACGGTTTCCGACAAAACGGTTCCAATGAGCAAGTGTACCATATCAATTGAAAACAATGGAGTGGGCGTAATTCAATCAAAGGCAGATAATGTGAGAAAATCGAACTTCATTGGTTACGAAACAATCAACCTCATCCTGGTTAAACGAATAAATAAAGACGACGTTGTTCAGACATCTGTGAAAGGTGACTGCATTGGTATGAAGAATTCCTATTTCCAGGGGTATTATTTGCGACAATGACACGATAGAAACCATATTCAAAAAAGAAACAAATCTACTTTCTGAGTTTTTGTGTGAACGTTATATATTGTGCTTACCATATTTTATCGACGATAAAAAGTTTTTAAATGCACATGATTACATATAATGCGAATGAATTACTGGACGAAATTAGGAATATTCCGACACATTGAATCGTCGCATATTTAATTTGTAAATTGGTAGAAAGAGGAATGTATCGCTATGTCATTTTCTCTTTGTGCGAGTAAGTGAAGACGGCACAACAGTTTTGAACAAAGTAAAAAGCTAACTCTCGTTTGGTGTTCGGTGGACGCACGAAGATCGTTGCGCCCGACGAATGGCGGAAATTCGTCCGGCGCGCTGGCCACAAAATCTGTTGATCATTGTGTAGTTCCAATAACACATCATGAAACGTTCACTTCTAATGGAAGTCGAGTTTTATCAATTTTGGGGTCTGTGATCACTCAACCGTGACGACAATTTTTTGTCATAAACTTGACCTCAATGAATGTTTCCCTGAGCATCAATTTCCTTGTTTATTTCGGTAACAATTACAAAAATCAGCAATAAGTTAACAATGACGTAACATTTGGAATTTTAGGCGTGTTTGTAAACATTACCTTCTTTTTGTAATTCTGCGCGTTATTCGTCAATTTTTATTTTTGTGTTTCAAAAAATAGTTCAATTCGCGTAATTATCATTTTTAGTTTAGTTAAATCAAAAATTGATACCACAAACGCTGCTATAGATTAACCTAAAATTAGTTATCATCACTTATAAGCAGCACTCGGTTTATTGTTTTGAAACGAAATGGTAGTTTTAAGCATGTGAGCTAGTTTGTAAGCGCCAACTCTTCAAAACATCTTAAAATCAGCGTTGAAAATGTTGTAATGATAAAGTATAGGGAGGATCTTTCAGAGGTTAAGAGTCGGCGAAACGTCCATTAGCTTGTATAACCCAAAAATGGCATCTCTACCGAACACTTGTATCTATTCTTCATGACTTATCGATTTTAATCGGTAAGTATGTTGATAGGTATTTGTCTGTCTGTCTGTCTGTCTGTCTGTATGTCGGTTTGTCTGTTAGATGCACGCGATATCTCACGAAAGCGAGATTGAATCTGCTCCAGATTTTGCATGTGCATTCATCTTATCTCGGACCAGAAGCCTATTGATTTTGGGCGAATTATGTCGTATAATTAGCGAGTTATTAATTAATTAGTGATGGGACACAAGGTGTCACTGTGGAGTAAGAGCGCTGTTTTGGGGGATCCCTTAACTTTCGATCGATAAGTCTTCGGTCTCTGACCGATATTCTCGTTATCGTTTCTTTCAAATCAGGCTTCAAATGGCGGGAACGAAAAATGTGATACTGGAGGCACTAGCGAAGACGCGCATAAGATCATACTAAATTGAACATGGCTTTAAGTGGAACCAAGACATTCGAGATATCTGAGGTGTATAACAAATATAGGTTTCATATACAGTAGAAACTAGAAAAAGCTTCCGAAACGAATTAATTTCGTAGGTAGAAAATTGAGTCAAAATTCCGTAAGAAAGGACGCATTCCACCCGTAAATGCCTTAATCCATTCTAAGCCCCCACAAAACTAGGATATAATACTTGTATAAATTAAAATAATGGTTAAAACCCGTAACAAATACATGTTAGAATTAGATTACTGCATAATAAATATTAAAGATACACATGGAAAGAAGAAAGATAAGAGAAATGACGGGTAAAAACTACGAACAGTATGTTTGTTTACCTTTATTGTTGGCCGACTAGATTAGGCTAAGCGAAGACCGTGGAGCGTGGGAGGACGGCGATTGAAGGAAAGGACGGCGTTAAATGCTGAGATAGAGCGTAATGTACAAAAAAGAGCACACGGACATAAAATTTAAAATTAGAGTTTACTCTTTTTCATTTTGCTTTTGTGTTGATTTTCCGTTTATTTTTTTGCTCACGAAACCATTCGTTGATTCAGAAAAACGCAAATGTTATCACACCGTCATCATATTCAAATGAGTGAACCAGATTCCCAAATTTCTATCCACCAATGATGGAGAATTAAGACCGTAAATCGTAATTTATTCAACTTTACACTTTGAGACGTTCCTGGTATTTGCAGATGATATGTGTACAGAGCGCAAGAACATAAAACCAGTACCGTACGCAAATTGGTTCCACATTGATACCTGGTTTACCAATTGACAAATTAACCTTAAGTCGTAAAGTTACGGACTTGCGCAAGGTCTGCGAGACGACACATTTCAGGGTTTAACTAAATTTGATGTCTATCAAACGATAACCGTTTGAATTATCCCATTTCATGTTGAAGGACCCCACAGAATATGTTAACGTGCGCTAAACTTTTACGATCCAACTCAGTTCATATGACTTACATCTTTTATTTAATTTATTCCCTGTAATAGAGAAAACATGAAGTTATTTACATTATTTTAAGCACGTGTTATCAAAATAATATCCTAAAACATGGTTTCTGGCTGCAGTTTGCTTAAATAAGTCGGTATTTTGCGAGAGCTACCATACGATTTTTTATCAATCTGAACTGGTGTTAATCTATATATATATATCAGTAAATTTAAGGAATGTTGTTCATTTTCACCGAAACTGATTACAATTACAATTCTGCTAATTTCCAACGCCTGTGTAGTGCTTTTATTCTGGATGGAACATGATGTAAATGTATTTTGTTAATGTGGATAGCGAACTTCGCAGGCAACAGAGAGAACCAACGTCAAACTGATGATCGGTCGCTATTTCAAATATTTCAACAATCTCTATTCTTGATTATCACACCTTTGAAACAATGTTAAAAAAAACGGATAAAAAAAATGTGATTTGGACCCATTATCGACCAAAATAAACAATAGGACTTTGAGTAAAACAAAGACATTGCGGGGCAACTGTTCATATAACCTATCGATTCTTCACGTAAAAGATTCCTATTATTCGCATTAACGATTCCTTGTTTAATGATTTTAATTTTGTAAATTGAATTTATGAATCAAAAGATTCTTGCCTTGAGTTACAACAGTTTTCGCATTACATTATCATTTTATTTTTATTACTTAATTTATTTTAAAATAAGAGTTCTCCATGTACAATTTTAAATTTCCTTTTTCTGAAATTATTAAAACCGGAAATCTGAATTGCTAAAACGCAATCATTTTGAGCTCTTATGAATCTTGGGTTAACACACGAAAAGTCCATTTTGTGACATGTACAAAATATATTTTAATTTGAATAGTTAGGACAACTTAAGAAAAATTTTACTTATTGATTCAGATTAATTGAAAATATATTTCAAGGATTTTTGCTGTAACATTTTCCGATAATACAGTTAAATTTAAATGAAATATAACTTTTAAGTGGAGATTTATGTTAACATAAACGACATATCACGGCTTTATTTTTAGAGCATCTATCGTGAATAACATTGTCATTAAATGCTTTTCAGGTTCTGATAAAAAAAATGACCAGATGGAATGTCTTTAAATCCCATAATCGACCAAAACAGCGGATAGCTTGACCCTTACTTTCTCACGACTTTTTGAACACCACTAGCGCGAAACGAAGTGAACAGTCCACTGTAAAAATTGGATGAATGGTATTAATAACCGGTAGACCTCGCTATTCGCTCTAACATGTTGGGTCAATCACAATAGCATGCTGTCCTATAATTTGGAGCATCTTTTCCAATCAAAGAATTTGGAATTCGGCTTCTTTTGCATTTTGGCTTCTACCATCAAGGCGGCCATTTCAATCCAAATCGGATGTACATCATTCGGTAATATTTCAATGTTATATTAGCATGGTTTCATTTCTTGTCAAGTTGCTTTATCCAGATAATCATTTATCGACTCCAACAACATTGCGTTGCCTTGGCGACGCAAGCTGAAAATGTTTCCCCGCCGCTTCGATTTTGGAAGATAGTAAAGTGGCTAACGTTGGAAGATAGCAGAAATTCTAGAGCGCGTTCATTTGGTGAGTGTGTGAATGGGAAATCGGTACGATGGCTTATTTATATGACGAACTGGAGAATTTGATCGATAGTGTTTTTATAATTACCAGGGCTAGTTATGATATCAGAATATAGGGCTGTACAGCTGTAGGGTTTGAATTCCCGTTGCAATAGAGTACCTACTTACTGATTTTGTACAGTTGTAGTTCATCATTTTGTTCTTTGAAGGGTCTGCAGTTTCTTGAATTTGGATCGTGTTTGTTTGTTTTTAATTTTGTCATTTTTTGCCATAGTAGTCCCAAGTTCAAAGAAAATTATCTATCTATTTATCTAAGGTACCAGTACTGCAGTAGTCTATGAATGAATTCAAAAAACGAATAAAACATAGTATTCAATAACAATTGTAAATTGAGTAAATAATTAAAACTGGAGATAGCCTATTCAAAATATTTTACTCTATGGTTGGAGTGATGGAACTTATTTTTTCTAACTTTTCGAATATGTTGGTTTACAGGTTGCTGGTTTTTTTTACCAGTTATTATCAGTCATGTAACTCATTATTCCACAAATTCTCGATTATTGATGGATTACACGAATATGTATGGAACATTAACTTTCTAGTATATTTCACCTACATAACATTTGCTTGTTGATGCTTATTGAAAGATATGGGATGTGGATCCAGCAAGAGTGTCACAACTAAAAGTGGAACAGGTGATATTCCTAAAACTTTTGAACACAAAACTGATTCAGAAAATTCACAGACAGTACCAAAAGTCACTGAAAATGCCAAAATCAGTAACAAAATTGCAGATAATACTGAAGTTTACAGGGATACAGAAGAATTAAATCAGTGTAATGCTGTAAATCGAAATAAAGAGGAGAATAGAGAACAAATACTGGATTCCAAGCATAAAGATGCAGAAGAATCACTGACTCCTGCTTATTCTTTTGCTTCTGATGATCTTGAAAATTTAGAAGATGCTCTTGCTGATGAAACTGTGTTGAATGTATTACAAAACATCCAATCATTGAATACGAAACCTGCAAATGTTCAAATTAAAAGCAAGACATCATCTCAAAAGCATGTGGAATTCGATTTGAGTCCACAGCTTGAGAGTCTTTCTGACAATGAACCAACCAACGTATCAACACCAATTCCAAGTGCTCAACCAGTCGATGGAAAACTGCCAGCTAACAATTTAAAAAACTCTGAAATCTTTTTCAATGCCTTGCATAAAGCATGCTCTGTGGCAGATAACAGTCGATTGCCAATATTAGCAGTACAAAGTGATTTGCTTAGACTTGATCGCACATTTTATTGCTTCAAAGGTGCCGATTTACTTATTGATATCACAAGCAAAATGACTAATTTATGCATTTTAGATCTGCATGGTGGACAATGTGGACCTGTTGCATTCCGAGCAATTGTTAATGCTTTAATTAATGACCATCATATCAGGAACCTAAATTTATCAGACAATTTAGCAAACCCAGAATGTTCTGAGATGTTGGGGCAGCTTCTTTCAAAAAATACAACCCTTCAACATTTGAATGTGTCTGGAAACTTGCTTGGTAAAGATGCATTCTCGAGATACGTTGGCACTGCATTACAAGAAAACTCATCTTTGAAGTCTTTAGATCTATCCAGCTGTGGTGCAACAGATTTACACTGCCTTTGTGAATCATTGAGAAATTCAACCTGTTCAGCAATGTCCACACTAATTGCCAGTCATAATCAGATAACTGATGGTCATCAATTTGCAATTGACCTGTCTTTAATACTTGAAAATGCAAATTGTAAATTAAAATTTTTGGATGTTACTAATACTAATATATCAAGCTCAGGAATGAATGCTATTGTGGCATGTCTCAAAAATAATCAAACGCTAGAAAAGATGCTTATTGGGCAAAATTCAATCGCTGATGTCGTCAGGCTTGGTGAGTTTATTGTAAATGCAGCTACTCATGATTGTTTGCAAGAAATTTCATTGAATAAAACTAAAATTGAAGGAGATTCATCAGAAAACATCGAAATACTTATGAATGATGAAGAAACAAGTACTTTGACCCATATTGGTATTGCGGACTGTGGGCTAACTGATACTTTTATCCAAAAACTTGCTTCTTGTCTAGACGGCAAGCTTTCAAAACTCGAATATTTGGATATATCTAACAACAATGACCTCAGCATTGATTGTATTAAACTTTTTGACAAAATGTGCAAAGGAAGTTTGAAATCTCTAAAAATTGCATTGCTGGAAAAGTTGGATGGGATATCCTCAATAATTTCACAATTTTCCAGCTTAGTCACTATTGATTTTACAAGATCAAGGATAAGTCCAACAGAGCTCAATAATATTTCATCAACATGTCAGCAAACATTTCAGAGCATTACTTTAAATGGTGTCAAGCTGAGTGGAACTCCAGCTCTTAAATCCGTCATGACTGCTAACTGCTTTTCATCTCTCTCCTTCATAAGCTTATCTGGGTGTCAACTCAATGATGCAGATTCTCAACCCATATATGATGCAATCAAGTCTTCCAAAGTCCCAATAAAGCAGATAGACCTTTCTGTGAATAGATTATCAAGTATATTCCTTTCCGGACTTACAGAGGCATTATTAGTACACGACTCCCATTCGTTAACAGACCTTAACTTGGCTAACAATGACATCGGTGACTCTGGTTTGATATGTTTGACAAAAATTTGGCAAACCTCCTCACATACATCCACACTGGAAAACATTAATCTGTCTTGCAATTCCATATCTGCGTCGTCTATTGTCAACTTTTTCAGTATTTTCAAAGCTCAAAGGTTTAATCTTAATATTCTTGATTTGAGAAATCAAAATGAACCTTTTGGCGAAGAAGATATTACAGTTTTAGCTTCGACTCTAGAAGAAGTCTTTTTCAAACAAGGCACTGCTTCACAGAATGTTCATTTTACTATTGCTTTGTGTGGATTAGGGGGAACAGATGTGCCCCAGTTTTGCTTGCTTGATTCTTCAGCCATACAAACTGATTTTGGAAATTTACGCAAAACTGCAATAACTTTAAATGATGTATTACAAATTGGTAAGGGACTAAGGATTCTAAATGAAGGCGATTCAAGAAACTCACCATATAATCTCAGTATAAAAGCATGGAATAACATTATTGGTTCTGATGTACCTAAATGGGCTTCAGTGACAACAGAGCTTGAGAAATCTGTATATATTAGTCATACTCCTGGCACGGTGACACAGCAGCGACTGCAAGGAACATTGGAAATGGATGCTGACTGTGAGGTAAAAGACATATTCCTGGTAAAAGATCCAATTATGAGAAAACCAACTGGGGCAGCATGGGTGCTGTTTGAAAATAAAATGTCAATGAATAATGCTATTAATTGGTATACATCAGGATATGCGCAGATGTATGGGACTCCATTTTTGATTAGTGAAATACCTGTTTGTATATCTGATGAAACAACAAATGCAGAATCACTCGCAAAACAGGACATTGCGGCTCGAGAACTTGAAGAGAAAAAGAAGCAGGAACAAGATAGGCGTATGATGGAGGAGAATGAACAATTAGCTGCTGAACGTGCTCAATACCGTGCTGCCCATCCAGCTTACCAAGGTGGCAGAATATCCTAAATCTTCAATATATTACTGTTTTTACTATATGTACATATATGTATTCTCCAAGATGAATTTTAATGGCATACAACTAAGTGGCCTTTTATTGCTATAAATAAACCAACTGTGATTTATAGATCAATATTTTTCATATTGCTTGGACTTGCCAAAAATACTGTTTTATTTATCTAAAATTTGAGCTTTTTAATACAAATATTATATGTGAAAGTGTTGCTGTGGATGATTTATCGAAATATGAGCCGTAGAACAGAGGGCATACAGTACTAATCAGTTAAATAAATATTATAATATACTTTAATTGCAGAAATGTCACTTGCAACTAGGAACTAATATATTAAAGTCTTCACAGTATTCGAACCAAGAAAGCCGTTTTCGTTCTGATAATTTTGTTTGATGGGGAGGGGGGGATGTTTCAACACAATTTCCTCCGGCACTCTATAAAAAAAACATGAACCTTGCAAGTTCACCGTAAATTACACAAATAAAATTACCACAATTTCTTCCGGCACTCTATAAAAAAAACATGAACCATGCAAGTTCACCGTAAATTACACAAATAATATTACCTCGATGAGCAGCAATGACAGGCATCTCATATGATAGAAAAGTGAAGCATTCTAACTAATCAAAACAGTTACAATAAGTTGATAGTGTGCCAACCAAATCAACGAGTTTGTGTAATAATTAGATGTGATTGAAGAGAATGCAAACACTCCTACATGCAGATACCAAAATTTGAAAGAATCCGAATTGCATGTAAGAAATTATAATGAAGTTTTCCACAGATGTAGAATGAACGAGGCAATTCTTTGCTTTAAATGAAACTATTTGTTTACTAGAATCACTTTATTGATCCGAACGTTTTTTAACACACACAAAAAATTTTCACCACTGACAGATTGACTATTATCATATATACCGTACAGTACCGTACATGTATTTATCTCGTTTAGGTTCCGTTCTTAGAGTTGTGTGTATGAGGCATTGATCTCCGGTGCCCTTACAAATGTAGAAAGTCGTTGCTTTGAGTTTTAAATCATGCTGCACAAAATTCAAAAATCTAATTTACCGACTGATACTGCCTGCATTCACTCGCAGAATCTGGGTCGTAATATTTTACTGTGTTCCCAGTTGCTTTAGCCGTGTGAGGCCACCTAAGTTACAACACCCGGGGAATACCCGAGGAAACTTTTGATTTAAGTCAAGTCAAGTTTAGGCGAGACCGCGGACGTACCGTAACCGGGATAGGAAATAGCGTACACTGGTAGAGGTGCTTTGACTTGATATAGCCTTTAGATCGCTAGTATAGTTTTATAGATTAGCTCGATTATTGTCAATGGGGGTTTTACAACGTGCTATAAACATCACGTTTGCATATTTGGCAATTTGTTTCATTGGAAGCATATGGCTCGCCCATAAATCATATGAATTTCATCTGAGTGAAGTTGAATCTGTTGCCCAAGATTGGTCTGGTGAGTCTATTATTAAATCTATACTCATTTAATCTCATATCTATGAATCATGAAAATTGTGCATGTTAATCTAAATGGTATATCGAGCAAATTGTTATAGTACCGTATTCGGCGTGGCCATCTTTTCTTCTTTGTTTGAGGTGAAATGGGGCAGACTTCGATGGCTGTTTCTCCCAGGGACACTGACCAATCAGCAATAAGTCAACATCCAATTTGGAAATTATGTCTATATGAGCATGGTTATAAATATTGCCTGATTTTTGTGCATTTTCAAGTTATTTTTCAATTTTTATTTTGTATTCCCAGGAGCTTTAGTTAAGTTGCAGTAATTATAAATTTTCCTCCAAAAATGATGTGATAGACTAGGGTGAAAGTAGCTATCAGTACCGTACCTTAAGCGGCACATGGTTGAATATTTTCATAAAAAATGATGGTTTTGATCATGTAAACCAGTTTGAAAGTACCAAAACACTCTCAAAGTAAGCATCAATTTTGCAATAGTAAAGTATACAAAGAATTTTTCTGCGGTCAAGGGCCAATTTCGCAAAAGTAAAGTATAGGGAGAATTTTTCTGCGGCCAAGGGCCGAGGAATCAAATATTATTATTGGATGGATGAACCACAAAAAAATAATATAGCAGGAAATGCATTGCCATTAAAAAGGGCAAAAATCTGAAAATAATCTATTGGAGAAATAATTTAAATTCTTACGTGGCAAAATAATTATGCCTACGTTAAGAAATTAATCAAAATTAAGAAATAATTGAATATTAATAGAATTGTGTTTTGATACAGCATAAGTACTATTATTTTTGCTGTACTTATATGCATACATACTTTTATATTTTCAGAGAGCCCCCTAAAAACGCCATCTGTCGTGATATCTGAATCTGAACGTATCAAAGGTATTCGTCAACAATTTATGAAAAAACATGAACAAGTTTTGACTGAAAACAAATTCCCTGCTTTGCAACTGAGCACAGGTATTTTATATGATATTTATAGAACAGGGATCAGCAAACTGCGGCCCTCGAACAAATGGCCCTTGCTCCAATATAATATGTGTATATTTATGTCGAAACAATGACTTTTGTACGGTGTTTGTGTTTAATAAGTGGAGAAAGTGCATGTTAGTTGTATGTTAATAGTTAGTTTAGTTTATCCATCATAAATTAGCTTTAGAATGTCTGGGAAATATAGGAGAGTTGTCGATGAGAATTGATCAGCCGAACCAACTGTAGGAGCGTCATATTGGCCCAGTGGTAGAAAAAGTAAAAGTGTATGTTTGGCCTAGTAGTACATAAAGTTTCTCAACTACTGTTGTATGTAATGTATATATATATCACACTTTCTAAGACAATGCATAGATAGAGTAATATTGTAGATCTTGAATCAGTAATTTTCATTCCAGAAAAAGCAGCATCAGACAGATAACCCAATATAGTTACTGCTGTAGTACATCTGACAGAGTAGACACTTTTATAGAGATGGTGGTACGGTGGTATCAAATTTCAAGAGTCAAATCAGGTCAGATAAGAATGTGAGCAAAAGTCACTGGTGGAAAGTCATTAATTGCTGAGCAGTTAGAGCAGGGCGGTTCAAGGTTGATAGCCACGCGGGCCACAAGAGTGTAACTTAAAAATAACCGCAAATTGATTGAATACAGATTTTTACCAAATTTGAGATACGGGAGGATAATTACTAAATTTTCGGACATTTTTTGTAAAACCGTTTGTGCTGATTGCGAAAAACCACCCAGCAGGAATTATATTGTTCGGCCATAACATTAATATGTACGGTAGTTATCAGGCATAGCCAATCTAGGCTAATAAATTCTTCATTCGATTTTCAGTTATTTATGAAGCCTTTGTTTAGCATATATATTTTGCTAGCATATGTTCCCGACCCTCAAAAAAGAAAGTCAGTTAACAATTTAGACTAGCCAAGCACATTATTCAACTTCGCTGGTTGCCTCAGCTAGCCATAACACTAGTCAATTAGGATAGGATTTACATATTTATCCCGGGGGGACGGCTTAATCATATGGCGAACCACGGCCTCTCGTCCGGCTACCAGTCCAGCTTGGGTATGGGATTAGTTAGCCAGTTATTTGATTTCGGAAGCATGGACTTGATGGTGGAGGAAGCCGTAACCGACCAACGGTTAAGTGAACCACCCTACGGCCGCGAGGAGTCCAGCTATCCTCTCGCACATGATCATCCCCGCATGGGATTCGAACCTGCGAACCCACGAAGGGTAATCAGAGATGCGCTGGCGAGCGTATTCCTGACGCTTAGCACGATGCTCCACACCGTCGAGCCAATTCAGTGATATTAGTGATGTAACAATATGTCATAAGATTTCTCTGGTTATTTTTGTGACGAATCAACACCAAATTTTGTTTTGTTCGATTATTTGTTTACCCTCTCGCAATGGCAACGCGGGCCATAGATAATGAAGCACATGTGGCCCGCGGGCGTGGGTTTGGACCACCCTGAGATAGAGTCACATTAAGAGATGATTGTTGAATATAATAAAATCCAGAAATAGGAATTATAATATATTGAATTCAAATGATCAAATTCCTATCAGAAAGAGTGTTGGACAAGTAAATCTTATGTTTATGCTTAAGTTTTGAATTTTGTACTGGTATTGGAAACTCGATTCATATAATTGGAAACTTGATTTATATAATAGGGGAGGGTGGGTGACGATCTGAAGCAACTGAATAAAGTGATTAGACCAAAACATTGTTAACATGTTGTTGAATTGTTTATATATCTAATTTGACGTTACTTGATATTGTTATCATGATTATTTCAGAGATTCACTCTCTGTATAAGTATAAGTTTATTTCGACTCCATAATCAGCAAAACAATAAAATGAATGCTAAAAATAAATAAATAAAAACTGATTATGAAATCAGGAGAGCGAACAAAACCTTAGATAAGGTTTAAAACGTACAGAATGTATATAAGATGGAAGGTTTTGCCAAGAAGATGTGGTACGTGTTCACTCACCTAAAATAATTGAAATATTTCACACACGCTCACACGCACCCACACACACAACCATATAGAAGTTATTAAGTAAAGGGAACATGAAAAATTACATACTGGTAGTTAATAAAAAATAAATAAATAAAAATTACTGCCACACCATATTAATAAATTTATCATGATTGCCACTGCCAAATTGATCAATTTTATAAATGGGAGTGAACAGTAAAGATAAACTTTTATAAAAAAATATATTGTCAAGCTGATTATAGATGGAGTCAAATGCCAAAATGCCCAACCAAAGTTGCCAGAATTGGGTGCATGAAGAGGTGGGCTAGACCACTTCATTGCCCAAACTAGAGCCTATTATTGCCAAATTGTAGTCCAGATTGCAATAAGTATTTAAATCTATCAGTAACTTTATAAGTATGAGTAATTATAATTAATTAAGGTAGAAAGACAGGGTATAGGAATATGTTGGTTGCTAAGGTTATAAGGTTTTTTTTTTCATTCTTAGATATTGACTTCTGCAAGGATAAAGGAATTAGGAATAAAGGAATTAGTATTGTTATTTCACAGGATCATTTCTTCATTTAATTATTGTGGCGTAATAGATTCAAGTTTATCGTGGATGAGACATCAGCCTGCGAATTTTGTTGTTGTAGACACCATTTATATTCAATAAACTAGCCATTGTATTGATCATCACAGAACGACCTGAAAAACAGAAAACAAATCTGCGAGTAGGATATTCAAGGGTTACATATTTGGAAACAGCACTACCCTACACTTTTGTTTAGAATTAATTATTATTTCGAGTAGATATTGATTATTAGTTATCTATCTATAAAACGCTAGTTCAAAGACCAGAGTTGAAATATGGTTGGGACACAGGGTGAATTCCTCGCAAACCATGCAGAAACTCTCAAACCACACTGACCATTCGTATGTTGGCCTTCACATCAACTTCACAGCAGAACCTCAACCTAGGATAAAATTTTGTATACACACAAAACAAATCATAGAATACCACAACAAATTAAAATGAAGGGGAGAATCCAATATATCTCCACTGGTCGCCTAATTACATAATAGGTACAGGAGCTAATATACGGCTACAACCTCATAAGGTATCACACCACCCATATAGAAACAAAGACCATGCATGTGTAATGTCAAAATCCAACGTTAAGCAAAAAGGGAACATGCGCATGCAGATGTCAGAGTGTAACAGCCATTTGAAAAATAAATAAATAAAATAATTTGCTGTGCATGCTACAGAACCCGACACAACAATAGATGTAGAACAGGTGGAGAGAGATTAACTGCCGGCTCAACAACAATCAGCAGCTGCAGGAGCAATAGCAATATTGTAGCTGTTTAATATTTTCATGAAAATAAGTATGTGCAAGTGAAGAGTGTCCCAACTTTCTATCATGGTCATTCATGAAGGTTCAATATTTTTGTGTCCGAGCTATCAAAACGTTGTAGCTAATTTCATACGAAAGAGTATATATATCAGTGTGGTTATGGGAAAATAACTTTTAATATTTGGATACCAAGTACGACTTAACTTGTTTCTGAAATGATTTTTTGGATTTTAATGACTTCAAATTCAAGGAGAGAGTTCCATAGCTTAGGTCCATTATAGCATAGGGCATGCTGGCTCACAGATTTACTCATAAACGGTATAAATAAATTGGAATTACTTCTTCGATTGGAGGTGGTTTTGGTTAGTATGTCGTCAAAGCAGTTTGACAATGAGTTGTCATGAAAATCATAAACTAATGACAATACTTCAAATTTCATTATGTCTTCAACCTTGAGTATATTTAGCGATTTATAGAAATGATTTACGCTTTCACGTTTACTTTTCCTAAAGACAATTCTTAAAAAATTATTACAAATGCTTTGCAATTTCGAGACAAGTGTTTTATTACCATGGAGCCAGACTGAGCTACAATATCGGATATGACTTAGTAGTAGAGATTGAAACATTGCTAGTAAAGCTGATTGATTAACGCACTGGGATACTTTAGCAGCAACTGCCAAGTTCCTTTTTGTTTTACCAATAACATGCAACATTTGTGATTTCCATGATAGATTTTCATCAAAGATAATTCCTAGAAATTTTATTTCTTCCACTCTTTCAATTTCATTGTCATTGAGCAGTAGTGGTTTTGAACAACTCACACTTTTATGCTTGCTTGGGTGGAATAATACAAATTTAGTTTTGTTAGCATTAAGAGATAATTTGTTAACCAACATCCAGCTATGAATGTTGGTTAGTTCTTGGTTTGCAACTGTGAGTAGATTAGCATATATATAATTAGCAATTATCTTGTGTGTATTGACTTTTCTGATGATTGACACTGATCTATAACTTCAACATTACAGGGGGTATTCATGGATTAGTTCACTTGCTGTATGGATCATTATCTGAATTCCTCATTGTATATCATGCTCCATTACAGACAAGTGGCAGCAGTGGTAAGCATCTTATATGCATATATGATCAAAAATATTTAAAAGTAATAATATCAATTTAAAATGTCGATATAGTTGAAATATTTTGCGCAAATTGTTAACAATAATAGACTCTTAGAAAAGAATCAATTTTCAGTTTTAATTATGATAAATTTTATTTACATCGTTTTCAATATGATATATCAGGAATAACAATTTATAGAAATCTTGACCACCTATAAAATATTCGCATCCTAACTTATGGTGATTTCAAAACTCCAGGATGTGACAATAATTAGCTACCTGTAACTGTTCATGTACTTAGGTATGTAAATCCTCACTTCATGTGGCAATACAAAGTGATGATTTGTAACAGTGAGTGAAGTACCATTCTTTGCGAATACTGTATTATTTTCATTCCAGGGCGTCATCTCATAACAATGTCAATTACTGTATTGCAAGGAAGTGTGAAAGTAGTGAATGAAAGAACTGGAAAATATGTTCAATATAGTACAAGTGTGTATGACAAAATAGTTCAGTAAGAGTCTAAAACGACTCCATGTATCTGCAAAACAGTGCCCGAATCACAAAAATCAAATTCTTTACATTGCTTATTGAGTATACAATTTTATGAAATGCTTTTTTCCAACCTCCAATTTAGAAAAGCACTGTACAAATGACCACTGATCCACTATTTATGAGGACTGGAATCTTTTCTTTTCAGCTCTGGCTGCTAATTTTTTACACTCTGGGTGCGATGGAGAGCATGGTGTTTGAACCCTAGTGTTGTAGTAGGCGATGCTAGCGCGTTCAAGTCCAACGTTCTAATCACAAGTCCCTGATTGAACTTTGTACTCTTTGTAGCCATCCTTTCATTTACCCACCATAAACGATCACCTCCACTAGTTAATTTATTGTTTTTGAAACTTAAGTGTAACAAAAAATGAATCGCTTGTATATTTTTTGATTACCGATGCATATTGCAAATTACTGTGATGAAATTCTCTGTTCCAGATGCTAATTACACCCACCACAATGGTGAGAGGACCTTTGTTGAATTGGAAGAAAACACTATTCTTGTAGTCTATGGTAGAGGATTAGTTCCTATGAATATGGGGTACTGGTTATGTGATAGCCTAATCAGTTCAGCAGATCCAGCAACTGCATTTTTTGTCATCTACTATTACTTTCAAGGTTTGTATGGTGTTTATTATCACTGCATTTATATCATACATTTTATTTAATATATTTTCTTTATACAGCTATATACTCCAGTCTCACTTTAAAAGAATTTTTCATTTCACTGTACAACGACTTATGGATGTTAGCATCAGAAGGACTGGCATCCCTTCCCATTTTGTTGAATGACATGCAAACATACGTAACATCCGTATCAGGCACTATCTCAAACATTTTCAAAAGTAGAAGTAAGTCCATTATGACAGATGCATAAATAATCAGCTTGATATAGGATTGCGGGTTAGAGTAATCTGTGAGAGTGAGTTGTCAAATTTAGCAATTGTCAACCACGATTTTCCTATTTCAATTAAAAAATATACCATATGTAAGCCATTTTTCTATTATGATTTAGTCATTGAACACCTCAGTGCATATTGTTTGTCTAACATTTTTATCTTTCATTGTATTTTTACACTAATTTTTCATCACAAGATTAAAAAAATATTGACTGACCAATGGCAATGATACTTCTTATATCAAAACTTTGATACCTGCGAAGTTATGTGTTTCTTATGCTATGAAATAAATAACCGGGCCTACTCAACTTATGCCAAGACTCAACAAACCCTGTTTACACCGAAATTACTACACATCTTTCACAATTTATTTCAAAAATAGACTATATAAATTCAACTGATTGAAAAATTTTAGATATGGCTCCGGTCACCATAATCCTTTTCCCCAGCTATGGTAAAGCAAGGTAACATGTCTTTTAAATGGTTCTACAATCAAATATGCAAAGTTCTGTATATGATCACCACTTGATGGGTATATTATTGTCCCTTCCTCGTCCTGTATTAAACAAAATGTTGATCAGCTTCTTTTTGGGGTGCGGCGTGCGGGATAATAATTTGAGTTGTTCTCAGAATAATTTCAATCAAACTTATCATATTTTACTGAGACAAACTTTACCAGCCAATTTAACGCCAATCACACTACATTGAACACATATTATTAATGTTTCTACCACTTTTATGTTGATGACCCAGTCTTTTCATGCTAGAGATAGATGGGCATTTAAATTTCAAATTCGAACACCGATGCTAGATTTGAACTCTTTTGCTTACTTTTTGATAATGATGACATACATTTAAAAATATGCATTTTCTACTGAGATATACTGATTTCAAAAATATACCATGCAGATATTCAAGACCTATTTAGCTGACAGATGATATACTAACCTTAGCTGTTATCTTGAAAACTTTTGATACAATTTTTATTTCATTTGTACTTGAATCTTTTTGTACACTAATTTGTAAAAAATAAAGCTACATCACTTTCTTTATTGCACACTGAAAAATTTCTGAGACATTAACAAGCATAGTTTGGGACAAGGATAATATTAGTCAGATTAACAAGTCTGAATCCAAGTTAGCATGAGTCATCTGCATATAGTTTTGGTACAGGTATTAAATATTATGGTAACACTAATAATTCATCAGTGTTTTATATAGACCAGGGCTACTCAACTGGCGGGCGCGGTCCGAATCCGGACCTTTCGGATATTCGATTTCGGACCGCGTATAATTTTTTATTTTGGATCATTAGCCCCACTTTTGAAATTTCGTTTTATAAAATTACTTTTATAGATTTAAAAATATATATGAAAAGGACAATAACGCCATACCAAACAATCTTGACAATCTTATCATTAGTCGGCCGAGGAATTAAGGATGCCAAAATATAATTTCAGGGAAGTCCGGACCCAAATATGTTTAAAGTTTCGCATGCGGACCTTCGGTAAAAATAGTTGAGTAGCCCTGAATTGATATAGACTACAGACTTAGAAAGTGTTCTATTCAATTGAGTTGATTGTTTATTACTGTATTTCAGATAAGAAATATATTCACTCTTGTTTATATCGTGATTTTGAAATCATATTGAATGTTTCCCCGACCTTTTGACCCCAGGAAATTAGCTTAAACTTATTTTAAGACCATTTTTGCGAGTTGGCATCACATGTCCAAACAATCATTTTGATTTCATATATACAACCACCCGCCATTTTAGTCTAGTCCTACAAGGCTGCAGAACACATTTTCAGAAGGTGCTCGAGGAAATATCCATAATATTTAATATCTTACTAATTTTTAAATTAGACTATGATCACACTGTAAGTGTATCTTCTCCCTACATCTACAAATGTGAAAATGATAATAATTTACACAACAGACCTCACACAGTCTTTGTACAAGGATTTTGTGACTTCATAATATGGTTCTATCATATCTTCATATTGACATATCGATCCGCCAATGCAAATGTGAGAAAACATTCTAAATAAAAATTCTGATCTTTCTTCATCAGAGTAACTTTCAAAATTGTTAGAATCTTCCAGTAGAAGCATCTGAAAATATACCAGTTCCTGTGAGAATAGTTTTCAGGAATGATGGTTAACTTTACACCTTCTTCAACTTCAAAATTTGGTTGATGCTGCAGCAAGCTTTTGTTATTGCCATCCATGAATAATGTTTTGATGGATACCATAAACTCTAGGTTGAAAACAAACTTTGATTCCCCTCTAGCTCCAAGAAAATCAAATCTCAATAACAAAAATTTTGACTTATTTTTCACTCAATGAAGACCCAAAATTCTGAATCTTGGGAGTTGAACATACGACTGAGTGAAAATATATTTAACTTCAACTTCATAGACATTTATTACAATTATGATGACAGGACTTTAGATTCAGCTAGTTAGTATTTTTATTCTGAGGAAAAAGAAACAAGCTTTCAAGATCTAGTTGTTTTAAGCAATTATTTCTACATCTAGTATTCATTGAAGTGGACACAATGGCATAGTAGTTAATAAATGTTTCTATTTGAGGCTACTTGTTTCTATTTCAGGTTTATCAAGCATTTCTGAGTAAATTCGACTGGTAGCATGAAAATTCCAAGAGTTTAATCCATTCAAATACATAGCGGCCCATCCATTTTTGTTTAGATGATTGTGTGTGATAAAGAATCACTTAAAAGTCATGTTATTTAAGCCTCGTCTAATCAAAAATGCAAATTAGTAAATTGTTTACTTTTCGAAGTTCATCAGAAATTGTTATTCCTTCATGAAATTCATCAAAACATTTTGATATGTGTCCACTTTCTCGTACAATGTTGTACTCCTTCAAGCGATTGAAAAAATCCATGGAAAGCTGGGTGCAAGGTACTTCTTCAACATCAACCGATGAGACTTTTGTTACTACAGGAAAAAAACTGGATGTTTAACTTTTGTACACAAGTATTGCTACTGAGTTACAATACATACCTAGTGGGCTCCAACTTCCAGATGTATTCATGCATTGAATGATTGATAGTACTTCGCTGTCATTCATGAAGTCCTGTTAGGATTACAATTTAGAAATGCAAAAGTATTAAAAATGAAGCAACAATCCTAAATATGCTTACCAGGCAAAATTTGTCTTTAGCATAAGCTGGAAATTGTTTATCAAATGAAAAGGTCCATGCCCGGAGTCTATCCAGAAGATACCTGCATATATATATAATATCTTTTTTCATATGTTAATAGATTGAAAAAGAACGTATGTCTGTCTACTAACAGATGTTCAATGACAACCATAATAACAGTAACACATTATAATTTTACTGGATTTATAAAGAATCACTGGATCAAGGAAAACATGTTGCAAGCCGGTTTTAATCTGCATTTATAATCCGATTCAGATCGTTGCTATTGGAACCTCTCTGAATGAACAATATGATCGTGTATCTTGGCATTCAAACTATTGAAATACGATTAGAAAGAGTAGTTTTTTAAGGTAGCGATACGGTAATATACGAATCGGTATTTCATACCATTTCTCTAAATACACTTTAAAATCCTTGTTTAACAATGTGCTGAGCTTTTTTGAAATAACTTTGAACTTGTGGGAATGTTCTGACTCCATGCCATTAAACATTATCACGTAACTGCCCAAACAAAGAAGGTCGAAAGTTAGCTAACTTTTTAGACAGGCGAGCGTCTCTAGTTTCCGTTTGAAAAATGTAGCAACCAGCGTACTCCACGCGTTGGCGATCACGAGTTACAATTGTACCATGGGCTCAGTGGCGGCGATACCAGGACCAGACATGAAAATGGGATAACTAACAAAACAACTTATCAGGGCAGATCGTCACAATGTCCAGAGCCATTATATACCGGTAAGTTAATTTCGCTGCCATAACGACTAACATACCTGTATTTTGCACGGGTTTGCACATTTTTCTGCGAAAAGGATCGCATAAATCAGAGTTTCGCGACCGGGGAGGAATTTTGTTGTTTCCGGGGAGGAAATTTAGCGGTCATGCGACGAGAAAACAGAAATATCACTTTCTAATAGACGTATTTTTACAAACATTGTTTATTTATTTTTAAAATTATTGTGACACATATTTTTGATCACACAATGGTATTCAAAAGGCGGAGTACGAGTGCGCCAAACGCTAGCTACAGATTTTTGAAAAATTACACAAATGACTGATCGATTTTATGCATGCACCTTTCCCTGAGCATCGACTTCCTTGTTTACTTCGTGACATTGGCCAATCAGCAAGATGCAAAAAGTGACGTAACAATGCTCCGATTTCGCATCCGCTCAGACACTTTTCTCACTCAGACAGATTTTCAGGCGTGGTCGTAAACATTACCTCGTTTTCGCGTTTTTGAACTCTATCCGTTAGCTTTCAGTTTTGGAAATTCAAATATAAATCAGATAATTCAATGATCACTCTGTCTTCTTAGGAGTTTTAATTTAATTGCAGTAATAAAAAATTAGTGAAGAAATAGCTGTGATAGACTAGGCTAAAATTCTTTACTGATATTTTTAAAAAACAGATTGTTGTATACAATGAATCATAATGATGGTTTGAAACAAATAGTCCATTTTACAGGCCTCAATTCCCGAAACCACTCTTAAAATAAGCCCCGAAAGTTTGCAATGGTAAAGTATAGAAAGAATTTTTCGGGAGTCAAAGGTCCCAAAGACGAAGAAAAAGTTTTAAAATCGCCAAAAAGAATTGGAATATATTAAAATAAAAAGGTAGGGGACCGTTGGCATGAATCGTCGTCATGATGGGTGATATTCATGACCTGTGGACGTGGTAATTCACGACTCCTTCACTTGAACCAACGCTTTGGGAACAACTGACTGCTCCACTTAACTAATACTAGATCAGTTCGTGAATTGCCATATTGTTATTCAGTAATACCAGTTTTCCCAACTGCCAGGGTTGCCATATCGTGCTTATTTCTAAGATTTGTGCTTATTTTCTAGCCAGCGTCTTATAAAGTAACGGTGTTCTTATTTTTAAATTGGGTAATTATTTAGTCTTAGAAACAGTGATGACTTGTCAAAAGGGCAAGAGTTATGTTCACCTGGATTATGTTCACCTGGATATCCCGGGATTGAGACGTATAATCCTGGAAAAGAAAAAGTGTTGTTTTCCATTCGGGAAAGCTGACAAATGTTGATGAAAAACGTAGTTTCCATCGCAGTTTTCGACATTAGCGTTCCCGTTCTTTGCCATCAAATTATTGTAAAAGTTGCGCGGTCGCACGGGTGATACGTGGTCTTTAAACGCACCGCTGATCACGCGCTTCGATCCACGCTCCCCCATGTTATTATCACATGTATTCTCATTTTTTCATAACCTAATTCATTTTTGTTACAATTAAATATGTTTCTCCCATTGCCAAAATCGTTCAATAGTGTTATTGTCGGCATTTGCGAGAGAAGTGAAAGCGGCAAACAAACCGTATTTCATTACAACAATTAATTATTATCGCTAAAAACGCTAAATAGTTTTAAAGTAGTTATAAACAATTTTCACAGAGAGAGTCATTTAACATTCGTCAGCCAGAAAAACAAGCATTGCAACAATAATAGAAATATACAACTTCAACCGCAAAGCTATTCGGTATAGACTGGGAGGAGCGATACGACCATACATACATACGGTCATCAGAGTCAGCACCCTCCATCACATCTTTTCGTATCTTTTCACGTTATAAATTTCGTGCAAGACCCAAGCATAATTTGATGGCAAAGAACGGGAACGCTAATGTCGAAAACTGCGATGGAAACTACGTTTTTCATCAACATTTGTCAGCTTTCCCGAATGGAAAACAACACTTTTTCTTTTCATCAGTTGTACATCGGAAGGGAATTGAGTGGAAATTACATGTTTGCATAATTCGTCACGCTAATACCCGAATTGCGTAAGTCATTTTTAGCAATTTTGAGAAAAACGTAAAAAACTTCCTAATGATATTGTTATGCCATTGATTGCCATGGTTCAATTTTTTGATCGTAGCCGGATTTAAGTTAATTTGTATGACGCAGTTATGTGACATGATAATGGCGCACTGTGACTTCGGCAGAAATGTGGGTATGACTTGGGGACATACGCAATTTTGCAACTTGACTATATGCACCAGTCCTGAAAACCAAACATTCCAAAAACAAATGTAATTCTCAGTATCTACGATGTCTAATCCCCAAAATAGCTAATCTGTTTCAATTACATTATTTTTTATGTTTAAAAAAATATATTTCATCAATATAACACGCTCTGCACACCCACCGAAATAAGACTAAGATTGAATATAAAGATTAAAACAGCAATGCACCCAATATAAAAGCCAACCATGGCGAATTGGACTCGGACAGTAAATATCACAAAGGCACGATCACAAAGCAAATTTATAAGCGCTAAGCTAGAATCTAAGATGCAAACACCCAAAAATATTTCGCCGACGTTATTTTGCCTTTGTGACGTCACAATAGTCCTGCGGTAACAATGAAAATTCATTATGACGAAACAATTGCACAAATGTGCATGTCATACGAAATCTCCATTTTTATGGGTTTCGGAATTCTTAAAATAAAATCTGAGTTAACAGACAGGTGCGCAGCATTACATAAATACCTATTTTATGAAAAAAACTTGAAATCGCCAAAAATGACTTACGCAATTCGGTTATCAGCCTGACGATATGGAGATGAACAAGTAAAAAGCATATAGACAGTGTTGAATTTCGTTTATTAATTGTCATAAGAACATAAAATTTTTCTATGATGGCTTCTGAAAGAATTAATAATATACAATTTTCAATTCTCAGTAATCTTCGGACCCAAACTAAATTTAGGAAAAATGTTCAGATATCATTATATTGCCAAGCATTAATTTTCATCAGCAAATAGCTGCTATTTTTATGCAAACGCATAAAATCGATATCGATTATATTTTTCAAGTTCTAGAACGGAATAACTATCAATAAAATGAAATTTATATCAATTCCTATGAAGCGTTGATATACCTTTCCCCCGACTTGGCCGTATCTGAACATACAGCTGTTTCCATCAAAGTTAGACTGTTGTCTATATTCTAAAACGACAAGTCGTGCATAAATGTATTCATGCTGTATCCTTCTTTGATAACCATTTCTGTTCAATTTAAATAAACGTGCTATGTTTTACTATTATGCTGATTACCTTTAAAATTGTACGGCAATAAAGCAATAACAAAAGAGCATTGTGTGGTATATTATTTGCATTCTAGCTATAGGAAAATATTTATTTCGGCCAAGCACTATTTTACTAAAACCGATTAGGTGATATAATCCAACAAACATATATATATATAGATATATATCAGAGGGTTCCAAGTAGGTCACTGTATTAGATGTATGCATACATGAATGTTTGTTTTTATCAAATTTAATTTTGTAATGCAGGATTATGATCTGAAACTTTAGTCAAGATGGTGTATTTTCATATTCCGTTCAATTTAAGAGTTCCCTGTACGTAATTGGAAACAAAGTGAACTTAAGGATCGTTTTGCGAAATTCCTATTTAGGCTTCCCGCTGCTTGTCAGCAGGGAACCTATTGTATTCCTGTGTTTTATTATTAGGCTTCCCGCTGCTTGTCAGCAGGGAACCTATTGTATTCCTGTGTTTTATTATTATTATTTATTATTATTTATTATTATTATTAGGCTTCCCGCTGCTTGTCAGCAGGGAACCTATTGTATTCCTGTGTTTTATTATTATTTATTATTAGGCTTCCCGCTGCTTGTCAGCAGGGAACCTATTGTATTCCTGTGTTTTATTATTATTATTTATTATTATTATTATTATTATTATTATTATTATTTTTATTATTAGGCTTCCCGCTGCTTGTCAGCAGGGAACCTATTGTATTCCTGTGTTTTATTATTATTATTTATTATTATTATTATTATTATTAGGCTTCCCGCTGCTTGTCAGCAGGGAACCTATTGTATTCCTGTGTTTTATTATTATTATTTATTATTATTATTATTATTATTATTATTATTTTTATTATTATTATTATTATTATTATTATTTTTTTTTTTTCAAATTGGTCCTACAAACTTGAAATTCACCTCAAATGTGCAGAAGTTCTCAGCTAGCAATAAAATGCAAATTTTATGCATGACTGACCATGCTTTCACGCTCCAGTGAGCAAAACGCGTTTTCAGTTTTTTTGCGATTTCTCAAAATTGATACATGGTATTGGGTTGAAATTCATAACAATGATTAATGGACATGTTCCGGATACGATATGTCGAGGATATGCATTAGTGACCTCGGCGATACACTCCAGTGAGCAATATAGGATTTTACATTTTCATCTTCTTCTCGAGAACGATACTACTTAGAGACTTGAAATTTACATCACATGCAGATAATAAGTCCCCCATTATAAATTGCAAAGTTCATGCATGACTGATCACGGCTTCACGCTCCAGTGAGCAAAACGCGTCTTCAGTTTTTTTGCGATTTCTCAAAATTGATACATGCTATTGGGTTGAAATTCATAACAATGATTAATGGACATGTTCCGGATACGATATGTCAAGGATACGCATGATTGACCTCGGCGATACGCTCCAGTGAGCAATATAGGATTTTACATTTTCATCTTCTTCTCGAGAACGACACTACTTAGAAACTTGAAATTTACACCACATGCAGATAATAAGTCCCCCATCATAAATTGCAAATTTTATGCATGACTGACCACGCTTTCACGCTCCAGTGAGCAAAACGCGTCTTCAGTTTTTCTTACGCGGGAAGCCTGTTAAAGCTGCAC